AGTGCTCATTCTTGAACAAATCAGTTTTCAAATGAGTTGGAAACAAGTAAATGTGCCTATATAATCTCAATAGACACAGAAAAATCCCCGTAAATACCACAAGTTGTAATGCTTTTTATGTTTTTTTTACCACTCCGGAAGAAACCTAAGCCATCCTTTTAAATCAGAGGAAACTTTCTTGCCATTCCTGATGGTTAAGGGTAGGTGCGTTTATCAAAATATTGCCACCTTACCCCCAGACCCCTAGTTAAAAATTTTGAAAGTAGAGCTGGCCTGATCAATGCATTTCTTCTACTTGAACTGAGCACCAAGGAACATTTTCGAGCGCGACTTTTCCTATGAGACAGTTTGTAAGGGGGTGGGGTACACTTCCGTGCCTTTATCCTTGGAGGACAAGAATATGGTACCAGCTGAGGGACAACGGCAAAAAGGTTCGGTTTACCATTGCGGACTCGATCCGGAGTTCGACTCCGCTATCTGTGCGTGTCGATCAGCTTCACCACCATGTACAGTCCAGGAATAATGAATTAGGTTAAATCCCAGTACCAAGCGAGCAGCCTTGTAATTTTTCAGTCAGCATTATTGTTTTCTAACATGAGTTTCTCGAGCCTGATAAACATTGATCCAACCTAATATACTCGTGAATGGCGTTCTTACTAAACAATATCTTACCCGAATCTAGCTTATTGTTGCCAATTCCGCAGAGCTTCAGTGCTTTAGGCAGCGTTCATAGTTCGCGACAGCAGCGGCGATCGCCGCGATCGTCGGTGCATGGCAGCGCGCGCCCCAACGCTATTACTTGCGCTCCGAAGGCTTCTGGGGGTAAGCGGCTCAATTTTATTATGCTTTTTTTCCTTTGACTGCAATTTCCTTAGGTACTGAAGCTTGGTTTGACACAAGGGAAGGTGAGCCCAGCTTAATCGCTTTTGTTTTCTATTTTCTTTCTTATTTAGGATAGAAATGAGCAAAAAGCGCGAGAGCTTCACTTGAGGTACGTTTTTATTGCTTCTTTTTTTCATTCGTCGAGGTTGTACATGAGGTTTATGAAGTTTTCACCTGTTGATGTCGCGTAAAATGATTAGTGCTTTGGTTCCTAGGAGAGTTTCTTTCTGTTTCTTTTTTTTTCTTCGTTGTTTGAACTCGACTTGTAAACTATGAATGTTTTGGAAGTTGGAACAGCTTAGACGATAGGAATTCCTGAGGCGCATGCATAAATTGAAACAATAAAAAAAAAAAGAAGCTCACCCAGGAAATGGAGTTGGTCTTACCCCGACCTAAAAGGAAGTGAAACCTTCTTACCTCATATTCCAGATCTGCTTATGTGTAGAAAGTCGTAGCTTATCTGTTAGTAGCCCTTATTAAGAGTAAAGAAGGTCTTACAAGTTGAATTCCCTTATTCATCAGGCGAGCATCCACAATAGCGTTGGGGCGCGCGCTGCCATGCACCGACGATCGCGGCGATCGCGGCGATCGCCGCTGCTGTCGCGAACTATGAACGCTGCCTTATATAACGAGCACCAAAGGAATCGTCACATTGGTTGTATGCGTGCCATTTGCGGACGTCTGCATATGACATGTATCCTAGCTGGTTTTGTTGAAGCCGTCGGCACAACTCACAAAATCCCGTGTCATCATTATGTTCGGGTAAAGCTCTGAAATCAGGATGCTCAATGTCTCATCAGATGTTGTTAAAGGCACGGTCCGCGATAAAAAGCCTAGGTGTTGCAGAAATGTGGAAGAAAATTCGCCAAGTGAACCATCTATGAAGAGAAAATGCCAAAGGGAACGTTGGAAACGCATTCGTCAGGCCTCCTCTAGCCTCAAACAACTGTAGAGGTAAAAGACCGCGCGCTGGGACAATTCCCGTCGGCTGATTCCCAGTAATGAACCCTATGACTCTACAAGAGACAATACTTGCCCGGGAGCATTACTTTTGGCTGGAAGGCCGACTTTGGAGGCGGAGTCACTGGAAAAAGGGATGTACCACTGAAGCAACTTTGCGCCTTAATCCCTTTACCGTACAACTTTCCGCCGCGAAACTGGCACAGGGTTGTCCACTCCGGACCGCACTACCTTCCCACACCTCTTGCATTTTCATAGGTCATCGTGGACCGCTCCTTTAATACTGATGACTAATAAAGAGAGCTTTGGGATTACGTACTCGTGAGTAGTCCTCCATTGGTGAAATGCAGTGTACTTCTCTTTATCTGCGGATACTTCTTTGATGTACTTCACCATGTCGGTCAATGTTTGAAAGTCATCGATCGCGATAAATGAACTTTGTGGAGCCTGGAAAAGAGGAAAAGAGCTGCTAAAGACAATTCCTGAATTAAATGTCACAGGTAATAGATGCTCAATCGGATTTTAAAGCCCATAGGTAACTGCCTGGTAGATAAAGAGACAAAAAGAAATCCCGAAAACACTCTGAACAGAGACCCGCTCAGCAGTGAGCGCCTTGGACGAGTTTGTCGGACGTCGGCAAGCCCAATCAGCAGGATTCGACGTGCAACCGATTCCCGGCAAGAGCACAGGAAATCACCCTACGACGCTCCAGGCAACGCTATGTACACACGCAATTCCGCTTGTAAGCCGTTGTCTTGCAGAGTGAAAGTAATCGTGGTTGCAATAATCACGCGTCTCTAGCTTCTTTATCTCCGTTTCAAGTGACGGAAGTGGACATATTCCCTGCTATCCATTTCAAGTGACGGAAGTGGCATATTCCCTGCGAATGCGGACAACGATTTCAAATGCGCGGAGGCGGTCAGTGAATGGAATCTTCGTTCGCCCCCCTATTTCGACCTTTCGTCTTTTATGAAGGCAGTGCTTGGGGTAAGCCTCTGCTTAGCAAACTAACAAACGGCGTGATGTAATATTAAGCTGGTGGCAAAGTCCTGCAGTATATTTTGAGATTAGTCTTTCTTCTTATAGAGAGACGTATAAGATTAAGTATGTACGGCATCATTACTGCGGGGTTTTTGCCGAAAGTCTTTGAGCACCTTATGGATGCCGTCGTTTCACAAGGCAACCAGGAGTGACGCAAAGTCTCGATTTCGTATTCGACACGGACCGGGAAGCTTTTCTTGTCCATGTAACGAAATAGTTCGAAAACTAACCAAGCAAAGGGAGCAGTGTCTAGGCCACACGGGTACAAAGGGAAAGCTAACCAACTGTATTACATGAACTTTTTCGCAAGGGGCTGTCTGGCCCCGCCATGTTAAAAGACTGTGCGGATGAATTCTTTCCCTCTTATCGACGATTCGCTTCAGAACTCGCACCTGTATTGTGTAGAAATTGGATTGAGGAGTAGCTGAACCTCCAGTAGTTTTGTGAGCCGCAGCTCCCTTCGAGCTGAGTTCGGATGGACACCCACACCTCAGTTGATATTCGAGCGTC